TAGTCAAATCGGTATGCATGTTGTGAAGGTGTGATTGCGTTCCACTAAACCGGGAACTGGTACGAGCTGTCACACATTACAGTATTATATTTTAGCCACCTTCAAACTGAAGAAACTGGATCTTCAAAAGCAGGGCTTCGATTTAAAGTTGTGCAAAGGAGATCCGGTGTACTACTGGAATACATCAATCAAGGGTTACTCATTGTTGGATGCTCAAATGCAAAAGGATATCGAAACGGGCGTGTACAATCGTATCTAGGTTTGTTATCGAATGCAGGAACGGCTTCCTTACTCACTTACCTCCATGTGTTGTGATACGGTTATAGTAGAAGTATGTGTGCGTGTGTTATATTCATTATATTGTTTGCGTTATATTCGTTTTTTATTCACATTGAGACGCATGGCGCATCATTCACGTGCTTTTGTTGTAATACCAGTATCCTTCTATTTATCCAATCATTCATTCATTCTAGTGTTCATTCCTTTAATCATTCATCAGTTCTCATTCATTCAACCAATCATCATCAATTCATTCATTCACACAATTCATTCACATTTAATCAATATACATCCCTTATGTGTAGATGGTATTCGGTTTTGAACCGCCCCATGGTGCCATTCCTGCTTACATTCCGTGCCTTAATAAGTGATTGCTCATCGTATACTACTTTAATATCATTGATTCGTAGTACAGCAGCGTTTTAGCGGTTAGTGCAATAGATGTTTTTTTTTTGTCTGTCAGTCTCTCTTCTTTGTTCTCTACACAAATAGTCATTCACATTGCCTTGAAGAAGTGGTGATTCCCTAAATGTGTTAATGTGTTCTGTGGCCTTACTCGAGTACTTGAAGTTATTTAGGTGTTTTAATAAAGTCATGTTTCTGATTGATTTTCGGTATCCGTTGTCGGTGCCATTTTCCGTGTGATGTTGTGGCCAAATTCGGCGCTGAAGTGATATTTTTCTTCATTTTTTCTTTATTATTTTTTCACCTTTTTCACTTTTTCTTTTTACTTTGTCACTTTGTGGTTGCTCACTGACGCCATAACCACAGATTGTGAATGCACTTTCTTAAAGCTTGTTGAAGGGACGACAACCTTGGTTGAAGGAATCGTCTACAGACACTATTCTGTATCACCCATAAATCGCGAGAGCCACCCCACAATGAGTATGAGAAAAAAATTGCGTATGCTCTGGGTAACAGTTGGAAGAACTAGGAGGTCCGTTACGCGTTAATATTCCGACAGTACATCTGTCACAAATGTGGCGGCGGGAATGCTTACGCTTGCTTCTTATGCTATTGGGGAAAAATGTTTTTGGCCTTTTCGCCTTTGACAATATTTCATTCTATTCTATCGATCATTATTCTCTCTATTCTACAAGTTCGAACGCTTTGTCTTGATTCTTTCAATGCATCGCCTATGGCCGTCCCAGGCGTATTCCTTCCCATACCCCCTTTTATCTCTACCCGATCTACCGACGACCGTCTGCAGAGTGTGGTTTTAGGTTCGCTATCTTCGGGAACTAAGTTTTCTTGCGTGAAATTTGTGCTTTGACTTTAGTGAGCACAAATGCGTAACATCTGGGGAGAAATCTAAGAATTTTTCATGCATGCTTCCTTTAAGCTTGTCTGCGCATCTGTGTCGGCTAGTACTGGGTTGGAGAGAACGTTCTGCATAATTTTATCTTTACTTTAAAAGATCAGTCATATGTAAAGAACATTCCAATCTAAGACTTAGTCGCGCTAAGCTTTCCTTCCTAGACAATGAACAGTGTCCTTGTCCATGGCAGCCGATAGGTTAACCTTCCACCGAATTTCTCTCCCCTGATATCGGCTGTGTGCTTTGGGTTTGCTTCTTCGGGATATCGCGATAAGCTGATATCGTAGTAATGTTTGCTTCTGATGGAATCCGTGAAAAAAAACAAGCAAATTGTCAAAAATTCCCGAAAAACGACGCCCTTTCTTTGCTGTTGATTCCAAACTTGCACGAGTTCACCACGGCTTTTGGCGCTAGGCATCCGTCGCATGGCTAGTCTCTTATTAAATAATACTATTTGTAGATATTTCTTACGCTATCGTTAAAGTAATATGTATGTACTCGCACCGCGCAAGGAATCGGCCATACACAAAAGTAAAAGTTGAGATGAGCAAGATTTGAAGGTGAGGCGATCTGTTCAGAAAGGCTATCCTGAGAAGAATATCACGCCACACGTCCGGGTTCGATATCCATGAATCCATTTTTATTTGGATTTACTTTTTGCACCTTATAACTGCTGACAGGGGATTTCTGCCGCAGAAGCGCCACATGTTGTCCACTCTGACCTATCTGCCCTTCCCACTTCTCATCTTTCCCTTACATAAACATCGTTTCGCACATTTCGAGTTTGTGAACTCAAATCAAATTCGAAGATACCCTGTGAGCTCAAGGAAAACTTTATTCTGATTTTGAGCACAAACATGAAAACTATGGTTGATGGCAGTGAGAGCTTCATCAATATGATGGAACGTTGTCGAACCCAGGCCTCTTGTACATACGCTCGGCATTTGTACTTTTCGGTGGATCGATAGATCTGTAAAATTAGTAATTAGTTGATAGCTTACCATAAATCGAATCGAATTCAAAATCTAATGAGTTTTGTGCCATGAAATTCCTGTTCTCATTTTGGGTTGTAACGAATTCGTTATAAGAAGTGATTCGATGGAGACGTCTGCCAGCAAACATTTTTAATCTGATTTCATTATTTGTCCCTTCATTAGTAGTTACATATAAGCAGAAAATGCTGTCGGCTACGGCTTAGGTGAAACGCCGCTGTGCATAAGCGGGCCGGTACATGATTTCTTTTGCAGAACTTCTATAAGAGCTTTTTTATATGATGATTTTCACTAAAAATTCCTTTGTACGCCCGATGGGCCTGTGATCGAACACTAGTAGTCATAGTGGAGGAAGTATCCGTCAGGCGGGAGAGCCATCTGTTTTTTCTCACTGCTCGGCTCACAAGTTAGAAGGATAGCGGTAGTCTTCTCTCGCCTCTAGAGGTGGTCGCCCGTTTAGGCCGATGTCAGACTTCGCGAATCGCGCGATTCACAAAGTCTGACATCGGCCTTACTCAGCTCCTATGCCCTGAGTTATCCCCGTGCACTATTTTTTGGAGGGGGTGGGGGCTGTATACGCATAAGAGAAGATTTGATGTTGACTAGGAATAAAAATTCCTAGCTTTCTCTCATCAATTTTCGGTGCAACCTTTTTGCAACGTCTCCATCCACAGATTTTTTGTAGGAGAAAAGAATTCGCTGTTGGTTGTTTCTAAGAGCGCAGGATTTTTAGTCGGAATTGAGCTTTTCCCTGAGAGAAACGCGATGGTGGGCAAGTGGAGGACTGTGGGATGATATGACAAGGCCGAAGCGCCAAGGCTCTAGGTTGCAGCATTCATCTCCCCCAACAGCACTGACCCCACCCACGAATCAACGCTTTTTCGCTTCCCACCACTGGAGGGAGTAGCTTTATTTTCTTAATGGTCAACGTTTTCTTTATCATTTTTTCATTATTGACGACACTTCACATCTCCACTGTAACCAACAAGAGTAATAACACATCATTTTGATCGAGACTTTCTGGTTTTCCAAAGTTCTCTTGGTTGATCGGAAAGCTCCCTGTCCCGAGTGTTCTTTTAAATGTCTTCGAGATGAGCACGCCTTGAGGTCAAAGGTAACAATTTCCCCAAACCATTGGATAGCTTGTCGAATCTCTTCGCAACGAGCAGAAAGTGCTGCGGGTGGTAGAAAAGGCAATAATTAGACAGGGCGAGATCATCATCGCAATGTGCTTGAGAGATCCCAGGATCATGTTCATCTCCAGCTCAGCCCGAGTTGTTTTGCCTTAGTCTCGCCAGTCCACAACTGCAATCGAGGTCGCTTAGCTCAGTCAGATTCTCTGCAATCCAAGCATCGCTTAGTTGATTACTGGCCCTTGAGCCAATTCCAGTGTTTCCTGAAGAGTGAAATGAACGGAGAGGACTTTGAACCTCTGGGATGACTGGCTCGGAAAACTGCCCGGACGCTGGCTTTGAGTGGGGGACGAGAAAGAATGTGTGCTGCTGATCGGTTCGTTTTGAGATTATCACAAAAAGATTCAGGCGACAAACTTTGTTACTTACACCTACTTATTTCAAGGCTTTGCGTCAGATGAACTAACAAGGTTCTCGGATGTCGGTTGTTCCCGCAGGAGAGATAATAGCCTAGTAAGTAAGTCCACATACAGCGCCAAAAGGAGTAGTATAAGTGATGTATGCTTCTTGAGCTTGGTGAGTTTCTTTCGCAGTACAAGATACGGCTGCCTGATAGGGAATGCGCTTTTGAGTAAAAAAAAGCAAGTCGCAGGACCCCAATTATGGGCGGAGCGGTTTTGAGACAGTGCGATTTTCTGGGCTTACGCCACATCTAGCACTCTTTACGGCGCGAAAACGATACCATTTGCTTCCTTTGCCACCTGGCCATCGCTTGCTGGCGCATACACTTCTTCAGTGCGCTCCCACTTTATCGTGATCGCCAAATTAAAGTGAATTCCTACGTAATTCCGTTTTATCTAGAGGTAAATTATCATTACCAATAATTATCAATAGTCATTATCATCAGTTATCATCACTAACTCTTATTAACCATTAGTATTTTGGTACATATTATTTGGTATTATCTGAACCATTATGTATTTTGGTATTATTTGGTATTTTGGTATTATCTAAAGGTATTATATAAGTTGCATTCATATACTATATTGTTTATTATTATTGTTATTTTTTATTTTTATTATTGTTATTTATTATTATTATATTATATAATATCATTCAAAAGTATCGAATTGTTGCCTCTCGTGAATTATGAAGCCCAAGCCCGTGGGGGACAGGTCACGTCTCATATTTGTCTACCCTTACAGGTGGATCCACATAAATAGGAAAGAGCACCCTACGTAGTTGTCTTAGATTCTTAGCTTCACTGAAAACTCACTTGTAGCTTGGCATTTGAGTTTGACTGAGTTCAGCAATTGAGTGGTGTGATACCGATCCTCTAAGCGGCGCTGGCAGCACCACTTCCTCCATCGGATCAGCAACGAACGGCCTGAAGTATTTTCGACCTCACACACCACTTCGTGGAGAAATCTGTTAAAAGGGTTTATGTGGTTTTCTCTCCTTAAATATCGATCTAACAGCCTTCCAAATAGCCGATGTCCTCCGTCGACCCGTTTCTCTGAGACGCGCGCGAACTTGGCGTGGTGCCTAATCAGTGTATCGATAAGACTTCTCACCATGATCGCGCTCGCCTCAGGCAAGAGGGATTCTCGAAGAACATGGATATGTTTGCTATGAAATTCATCTCATTCTCATTTATTCGAACCCTGAAGTAGTTTTGACCTCAGTCTTCGACTACGAAGCCGTTGGTATCAATTCAAAAGTCGTTGTTTCAAAAATTTATCGCAAAAAATTTCCTTCACAAAAATACTGAGGCAGTAAGTAGCGGTAAAGTCTTGATACAAGCGGGAATCGCCTAAACAAGCCCAATCGCTTCTCGTACCTGGCTTATACACAGCAATCAATAATTTAGAGAAGGATCATAAAAAAAGGAATTACCTGAGAACAACTTTATACTCTAATTCACTTTATGAAAAAACCTATTCAACTGGATTGTAGCTGGCAATTTGTTCGGTTTGGGACCTGTAGAAGGCAAGTTGAGCTCGTTGTGGATTGAGAGGTGGAACTTCGTTCATGTCGAATGTGAGAGCTCGGCTGATCTCGTCCTCATTTCTTTGCACGATGTGTCCCTCTTTAGGTTGCGGGAGTGATTCTTCTTGCATTGGGGATGGAACGAACTTCTCTGAAGCCAGAATTGTGCTAATTTCTATTGCCAAATTGGATTGCTTGAGCTGTTTAAAGTCGATTCCGAACAAACTTCAATTCGTTGCTATATAGAGGAGTAGCGGACTATAAATGAACTACAGGGGTCTGAATTGTGACGCGCGATTCGAACCTGCATCTCTTGTTGACTGGGCAATTGTGCTACCACTTACACTACCGGGGCACCATTTCACCCCAGCTTTTATATGTAGCTATGGTAAACAGGCCATTAAAAGATGAGCTAGGGTGAATTGCTGCCTCGATAGTGCAAGTGATAGTGCAATCGGCCAGCAAACAAAGAGATGTAGGTTCGAATCCCTCCAGGGGCTAAGGCCCTGCTCATAACCTCTTGTGAAAGGTTAGAATTGTTTTTTTTCTGGCGAAAAATTCAAAAGTTTGACCGTTTGCCCAAAATATTTGGTTGCTCATAAAGGCATGCGGGTTTCAACAAATCACTTCGATCTCAAAAATTTTGACAGACTGGAAAATTTTTCAATGATTTTTACTCGAACTGGTTTTGTTGACGTAGAGCTAAGATATGTAGCTTTGGAACTAATGGTCAGAATTCGCGTTCTTTTCCAAGCAGCAAATACGTCAACCTTATTACGGAACCATGTAGAACGGCGGAAATCGGAAATTCGTGCACTGTTGTGACATTTCAATCCCCTTTTCTTCCTTTTGTAGTATGCTGTTTTTATGGTGTGGCTGCGTAGTACTTCCTTCACCTGGTTTTCATTCCCAGAGGTCGGTTTCCGAAGCTCTACTGGAGTTCGCGAGACACGAGGTGGCACGCAAACTCCAGTGAAACTTCGGAAACCGGCCTCTTTAATCTTTTATTATGGAGCTTCAACAGCTAAAGTGTCGCTTAGCTTGGGGCGTAGCAAGCGTTATTATGAGTCCTAGGGACCTTGTCTCGCCTTGGGTGCGAGGGTTTGGGGTCTTCTTGAAT